GGCAAATGGCTGCTGATGAAAAGTTCCAGAAAACCTCCCATCTCAGTCTACACAGAGTAGACAGGAGTCTTTTGCACGGTTTCCTGCGGACACCCTTCCCCCTGCCTGCCACTGCTGCTCCCGCCCCCTTCCGCCAGTGGTCTCAATGGTACATTCAGTTTCCCTGCCTCCAGGGCCCACAGGGTCAACCTTACTGGGATTCTAGTCTGTTTGGTTCCAGGGAGCGTAGGGAATTCCAGGCCTGGGCTATAATAAGCAATTGTTGTATCCACCACAGTCAGTGGGAATAGCCACCATTTTACCATTTCATGCTGTTTTGTATATGTGTCCCTTCTGCACCATTTACCTGGCCAGGGAGGAAGGAAATGAAGCCATGAGGGGTGTATGGTTATTAACCTTCTGCCTTGGATTGGCCACATTAGCTATTCCTCTAGGCCAGGTGAAATGGCACCTGAAACATCCTTCATCTCCATCGGTTTGAAGTTTTCAGGGACTAAATCTGGGATCTCCCCGTTTCCACTCTCACGTCTGTCATTGGTGCCCATTGGGCAGGAGGGCAGAGCTAACACAGAGATGAAATGAGGGGCACATAATAAGGGAAGCAGCAAACCCGCTCTGAGCCCTACGCTGGCAAGGACCCTTAGGAGCTGGCAGGGGTCCCGAGGTGTGGAACACTGCAGCCATGGTTTAATGGCCTGACTAGCATCATGGAAGGGGTCGAAATGCAGAGTCATAGTGAAGTCTGTGCTGTCAGAAAGGACTGGCAGCCTAGGCAACTGTGTCCAGGGACTGGAGCTCTGCAGAACTGGTTGGGGTTCTGTAGGGCTTAGGGCCAGAATTTCCCAGAAATCCTGAGCCCCTGCAGCTCCACCACTGTCCTTCCTACCTCTCTGCAGGGAGGGGGCACAGCTCAGAGCGCCTTAAACCCATTGGGAGCTTACAAAGCTGAGTTCTGAGACCTTCAATTCCCACCTGCCCTGCAGGGGAGTTCCACTGAAAAGCACTAAATTCCAGCAGAAAAGCTACACCCTCACCATAGGTTAGTGGGATTTTAAGACCCCTAGAATCAGATTCATTCACCACTGGTAGCTGTCATGGAGCAACTTGTATCTGTGGGGCTGGAGAATATGACTTGAGCATCCCTCCTGCCGCTGCAAAAAAGGCAGGGGTAGAGCATGGGAAGGAAGCCCTGGCCATCAGCCCTTCCCTTCTCTTTTTGTTTCAGAGATACAACACTCTCAGAGCCTGCTCTCCTCTGTCTTATGGAAGCGTCCCATGTAAGTGGTTCGCTATGGGCTAATCAGGGTTCATGCTGTTTTTCTGGGGCCATAACATGTTTTTCCTTCTCCATCACAGCTTTTCCACTGGCTTTCAAAGAACATACACGTGTAGTGACACCAAACTCAGACGTGCTTGCGTTAGGTATACATATGGAGGGTGGATCAGCTGGCGTGACCCAGATGAGATGATTCTGGTCTTGGACCTCTGGCTGATGGAGCTATACAATCTGTTTGAACATCCCTCCATTTGCCGGGAAGGTGTGGACGTAGCTAGATCAGTAACAAATGGGATTCAAACGACCTGCTGGCAATCGAGAATCACGAGTAATGCTATAGCTGTGCTACGTTGCTTGGGCTGCAAAGAAAATGAGATGCTGTTTTGCTTGCCAATAAAGAAGACACCAATGAGAATTATCTTCTCCTTCTCCAACCAGCGTCATATAGTTTCTTTTTCAGGTTGCTGCTGACTTGTTCCCAGTGTCCAGCTTTTTGGTGAGGATAATGTGATCACCTGGGAGCTGTGAGGTTCCCAGAGAGGAGCGCCAAATCCACAGATCAGGATTAGCGATGAATGCATGGAAAAAAGGACTTTCCTGAAAAAGCATGTGAATGCTCTTAATGTGTGAATAGCTAATGAAGATCCTCTTAGCAGTCTCTGCACATTCTTCAGCTGCAGGGTATGTTCATTGATTCTGTGTCTCCAGCTACTTTAGTCTTCTTTGCTTATTGCATCCAGGTTAAATTAAACAGACAAAAGGCCACTGCTGAAATGCTAAGACCCAATGGGGATTGCATTAATGGTCACCAATTCCAACTGGAAAATTGGTGCTTAGATTTTTTATAGCCCACCGCGTGGAGCTATTTCATCCAGCAGCAATAGGTAGGTCACCTCTAATGACCAGGGGTGAAATCCAACTCAGTGCGCCTTGCTCTGTCTCATTAATAAGGAATGAATATGAAAATTCATGGCTGGGAGTTTTCTCTTGGGAAAACACCTCGGCACACATTTCTATGGTTTATTACAACTCCCTGCTACATTGAAGACTTTGGAGTTATAAGCGTGGCGATCCAAACTCTTCCCAGGTGAAGCTGGTGCTGGAGTACCCCAGCAATGAGTTAGTAACTCGAGCGGGTGGAGAAAGGTCGTTCTGGTTCACGGAGGATTTTCGATAGGTCAGAATCTGGTTTTGTTCGGACTTGGAATGCAAATCAACAGGTTTTCAATTATTGGTGAAAGGGAATGGAGCTTTGGCACCAGAGTCGTCCACCTGGAAGGCTGCCCCAGAGACGCGGACCCTTGAAGCTCTGGGCGTCCGGGCTGCTGCAGAGCCGCAGGCCTGGGAGCTTGGGAGTCATGGCTTCCAGGCATGGCACACCAAGCGGGCTGCCAAGGAGCCAGCTGGCTGATCTAGCAAGAGGCCAGGCAAGTTTCATTAGGGGCCTGGCGGGCAGGGCTCCATCACCTCTTCATTGAAATGGAACCGTCTCCATGGAACAGGTGCCAACTTTCCAATGTGCCGGGGGGTGCTCACTGCTCAACCCCTGGCTCTGCCACAGGCCCTGCCCCCACTCCACCCCTTCCCACCCCCTCCCCTCAGCCTGCCATGCCCTCGCTCCTCCCCCCCAGAGCCTCCTGCACGCCACGAAACAGCTGATCGGGAGGTGCAGGGAGGGAGGGGGAGGTGCTGATTGGTGGGGCTGTCGGCGCGTGGGAGGTGCTGGGAGCGGGGGAGGGGGAGCTGATTGGGGGCTGCTGACGTATTACTGTCGCTCTTTGGCAATGTACATTGGTAAATTCTGGCTCCTTCTCAGGGTCAGGTTGGCCACCCCTGCACTAAGCAGTTGAAATCCTTAGCAGAAAAATCTGTCCTGCACATGGCTGAAAATGCCTTTAAAATTGATTATAAACTCATTGGACCAGAGCCTCAGCTGATGTAAATCAGTGTGCTATTATTTATGTGTTTCTTTTTGTATTACCACAGCGTCTAGGAGCCCCAGTCGTGAACCAGGACCTGACTGTGCTAGGTGCTGTACAAACACAGGACACAAAGATGGCCACCCTCCCAAAGATCTTACAATCTCAGACAAGAGACAGACATGGGAATCCAAGGAAACAATGAGGAAAATATTGGTCCACAGGATAAACAGTGGTGTCAGCACACCAGCCGCCTAACCATTGTCAAGTTTTTTGTAGGCCTCATGGCAAAGGTGTGGTTCCATTAGCTTCAATAGAGCCAGGCCAGTTTATACCAACTGTCGCGCTGGCCTGCTGTTTTTAATTGTGTTCCCAGCTATATGATATTATTCCTCACTAAGGATGAGCTACACACATAGGAACGCTGGTTTGTTTTGCTGGGTTGGTGTCAAGTGGTCGGGGTGCTCCAGTGAATCTGGCCCATCACGCTTAGCCTTCCAAAAGAACAAAAAGCACCATGGAGCTGACACAAAGTGAGGAGAATTTCAACCCAAAGGGAGAGTTTCTGGGGAAATGTGTTAAATATATTCATTAATGAACTGGAAAAATAGAGGGGAGCAGTAAGGTAGCAAATGAAAAGAGTGAGCTAATAGAGTTAATTAACTACAGGATCAATTAACTAGAAAGCCTGCAGCTGCAAATGCTATAATATACGGAATGGTGTGCTTACAGCTGTAAATATATAAACCTGCTGTGTAAGGACTCACTCTGTCCTGGGGCTGATCACTTTCAACTCCCGCTGTGTATAAGGACCTTGGCAGTTCTCAGGATCAGGACCCAATTACAGCTTGACACAAATAACTTTGCCATTTCTAGTTGATCACCAGTCATTGTTTCCAAAGTAGCAGCAACTGTAAGAAAAATACCCTTCACTCCCCCTTCCCCGCACTTAGCATCAGCCAGCTGGGATTCATGTATTTGGCATTTCACTGTTAATTCAAAGATGCAAGCACTGGAAGTGTTAGAACTTGGAAAACAAACACTCCATGGGCTTTGACTTTGATGAGGGTTAAACACCTTATGCATATAACAGGTTACACCTCTGAGATTTCTCAAATCAACTGCTATTTAACAACAGCGTAATACTAAACCAGGCCCTCAGAAGGAAAACAGGTGACAGTTTTCAGGAGGCAAAATCTGAAGTAACATTTTTTTAATTGCGTTTGTGCGTGTGTGCATAAGTTTGTGAGTGTGTGGTGTGCATGTGTACATGTGTGTGTGTGTGCGTGCGCGCATTCACGCATGTGTTTATGTGGGGAAATCTCCTCTTGTCTTCGGTGGCGGCAGGATCAGCGCTAAGGTGTGTGTAGCAGGACATTTTCAGTGACAGCTGGGCAGATGTTCAAGGTCCAGGTGCTTACAAGAAAGCAGCTGCCAATAAAATGAATGCAGCCTGTTGAGGAGAGCAATAATTCTGATTTCACACAGTTTGTGGTCCACTGGTTGGCTGTTAAAACAATCGACCCCTGATTCTCTCTGAGGCTTGAGTCTAATCGTTTTGTTTTGTTTTTAAATACAGTAACTAAATTAACGACAAGATATGCCACTCGTAGTATGATTCCAGCCGGGGAAAGTCTGGCAATCCTTAGGAGGAAAAGCGATAGGTATCGCAGGGAGGATAACCTCAGTAATAATAATAATCCCGAGATCTTGTACAGCATTTTAATGAAATAAGACAGCAGAGAAAGGAGCCTTTCCTTTGCCTTCTCCATGTAGCGCTTTCCTTTGCCTTCTCCATGTAGGTTCTTCAGTGCAGGAATGTCTGCGCTACAGCAGCACGGCAGTACTCCAGTCATGGAAGGGCTGTAGAAAATCTACTCCCTTGAGAAGTTGGGGGTTACACTGGGGGTTGGGTGGTAATATCAGGGCATGATATTTTTCAAAGTCCTGAGCAACGTAGCTAGGTTGACTAAAGTTTTAGACATAGACCAGGCCTAAGTGTTTGTACAGTGCCTATCATAATGGCCTCATCACATTTAGGGCCTCTACTAGCCACTAAATACGACGAACAATTCTGTCTATACAGAGCTTTCGGTGATGACAAACTACAAAAGTCCTCGGGCAAGTCACTTAACCACTCAGTACTCAGTTTCCACATGTGTAAATGGGGACAATAATACTTCCTATGAGGCTGAATTAATTCATATTTATAAAGCCCACTGAGCTTAGATGGAAGAGGCTATATAACAGATACAAAGGCAAAGATTATATATTAATGATGCATTTTCAGTGGTCACCAACAGTCCTTGGTACAATTATTCCTTCTACTGTATCTCGTTGCAGTCTCTCTAGTCCACTCTGCTTACGTTCTCTGATGCAGTCTAATGGTCCTTATTTGCTGTAGCTACTCATAAATCCTTTGCTATCCACTCTTCATTTATTCCTACCCCCCTCAGTAAACTGATTATAGTTTAATCGTTTGCTCGCCAGTTTTAAGTCACTAAGGAAAATGTTGTTATTACTCCACCTCTATTTTATGTTCTTTTAATTATTTCCACCTCTGTGATTACTCTAATTAGCTAACTGGTTTCTGATGGCTGTACAGTAGCTGGGATTATATTTTCATTAATCACCGTGTTCAACCCGTCTATTTAGAGTCTGTGATTTTGTGCATTATGATTTGAAATAAGTCAATACCAAAGTAAACTGAAAAGGAAAAAAATCCATACAAATAGACATTATATTAGTCAGCAGGTTGGCTGAGAGACTAATATATTTAGAAATGTTATGATTTACAAGCACAAACAAGCCATTTATTTAGCTCCTATAATAAAGATAAATCAGAAGTCTCCATTCATACCTATTTAAGGTGACTTCTTTGATCCAAGTCAGATGATTGACGGGTTAAACTGGGATCAGAAATAAAGAAACTGACAATACATTTCCTTTATTTCCATAGAGGCAACAAAGAACTGGGCTTCATATACAGTTTCTCTTTGTCATGTGAGAAACACAGAACTGCAGAAATGAAAGTGTATTCTTCATCATCGGGAGACTATTTCTTCCCAGGCACTCCAAACATGGAGTTTGTGAAACCAACATTCACAAAGTAAATTGATATTTCATGATAGTTTACAATAATCAAAACAAATCAAGGTTGCTTGACCTTCATTGTTTAACCATAACTATGAGGGAATATTCCTCTCAGTTGTGAAAAGCGACATAATGAGACTTAGTATGTATACAGCTCTCAAAGTCCAGGACCAACGCTGGCTTGAAACACCCCTGTGAAGTAGGTAGATAATTATTATTAGCTGGAGAAATTGAGGCAGAGATAAAGTGAGATGCCCACAAGATCACAGAGCAAGAAGCAGAACTCACTCTTGTAGGCCAAGCTGCTTCTCATGGTTTGTTAACATAGCACTGCACTGACACAAACACCACACATTTAATTTCACACTTATGTTCTACGGGTGGAAGCCTGGCTCCATTAAAGTTAATAGGAGTTTTGCCATTGTCTTCAACAGGGCCAGGATTTCTCCCAATATCTCTGCCATAGACTTGTTCTGTCACCTTGTGCAAGTCACTTAACCTCCCCACGTGTCAGGTCCCCAGGCCCACCTCTCTTCAATATCTTTGAAATCCTCAGATGGAAGGTCCTATGGGAGTGCAAAGCTTTGTTATTATGGATACCAACATGGGGATCACAAAGTGCAAACATTCTGAGCTCTTCATAAGGCAATGGAGACACAAATGAGAAAAGAAGAGAACTGTGGAATTTTATAAATCAGAGCTATTTTAGTTTCCAAAGGCTGAAAATTGATTACGCTCTGAACTAGCAGAGAAACTACAGATCTGTTTAGACTTTAGATTCTCTCCCTTTCTTTTTTCTAGGCCAGTCCTGCATATCATCAGGTTCACTGAAAAGCAATCTCCTTACGTTTAGCATCATTGCAGTCTATTTAAGGAATGATACTCACTGTAGCGAGCGTCTGCCGTTGCTGCTTGGCGGCGATAGGATTGGGCAGTGCAGCGGCTTGGGCTGAACACAAACACCTGGGCTGGGTCCAAACCAGGCAAGTGAAATGGAAAGGGACCATTTTCTGCCTACTTTCTGCACTACCCAGAAGCATCTCCTGCAAAACAACCTACCCCTGTTTAAGTGGGGGCATAGAGGGTAATGTGCTCCTGTTTCTTGTCCGCCACACAGCATCAGGATTTACTAGAAATGTCTGCCTCCAATGTCTCTGCCCAAGGCAAAGCTTCCTATCTGTTGTTAGGGAAGGGCCAGAACTAAAACCCTGAATCCAAATCCCCCTGAACTTCAGGATAATGTGGCCCCTGGATCCAAATGTCTGCTTGGGATCCAGCACAACCGCTGTTTGCTGTTCTGCACAGATCTTCAAAAGAACTTCTTTAGAAACGGGTGCACTGGGCATGTCTGGGGAAACACAAAAGGTAATTTGGGTATTTTCTCCAGTTGCAGGAAAGGCTGTAGAAAAATTATAGCAAATTAATACCGTTCAAAGTAGAACTCAGCACCGCCACAAACTGTGCAGATACAGGGACGCTGCAGAAAGGAATACACACCAAGATTTTCTGAACCCCTTACAAATGCTGAGGCTGTGCAGCCTTCGTAAACTGCCTGGAGCTCAGGAAAGCTTGCTACCAATTTCCATATGTAGTGTCCTGAATTTTCCAACAATCAGTATCCACAGGTTTTTCTTATACCTTCGACAAGTGTTTCTAGCCACGACGGACAACTGGCTGGCATGATATGTATTCCCATACTCAGCCCGTTAGTGTAGTAAAAGATAGCTGATCTCAGCTCAAAGCGGAGTATATTACTCTCAGCGTGTCACTATATGAAATTTCTGGGAGCAGTTGTATTTCTTTTCGGCTCTTTTCAAAAATTGCATCGGTTCTTTTTCATGGTGGCGCGGACAAAGAATGTAATGTATTTTGTAAAATGGGAATGGATATGAAAATCTTGAAAGAGCTACTAACCTTTTATAAGTAATCCACACAAAATGGTGCTTCTCTTCATCTTACCAGCTTGTATTTCTCTATGCCAACTCTTTCCTGAATGATAGTTGTGTTATCTGACTTTACGGTGATGGGTGTGTCTTAGAGGAACTATATCCTTCCAGTTAGTCTGCAGGTAAGGGGAAGACTTTGCATTAGTAATAATAGATGCTACTGTTTTAAAAAAGTGACTTTGTATAGAAGTTTAGGTAAGATTCTCAGTTGGTGTAAATAAGGGTAGCTCCACTGACTTCAGTTCAACAGAGTTTATAGGGATTTACATCAGTTGAGACTCTTCTCTTTATATTTAAGTCACTAGTCTAATAAGAACATTTTCAAGATGCACAGGAGAAAAAAAATTATTAAATAATGTTAAAAACTGTTTTCCATCGCCGTCTCTCCCCGCCCCCCCCAGTTGGAATAACTGAAAACAATCCAATATAAATTAATCAAAGCCTGGAACACCAAGTAACTGTAAAAAGCTGTTGTCTGTTTAAAGCTATCATAGGTATTACAGATGTTATAGTTAGGTCTGGTCAAAATTTTTCCATCAAAACTGGGTGTCAAATTGAGGTTTTGTGTGAAATGTCTGCTTTCTGCAGAAAATTTTTACTTTTGTCAAAAAACCTGAACAACTGAAAACTTTCTGGTTTTTGTCCAAAAACTGAAAAATTTCAGCTGAAAACTAACTAATTTCCATTGGAAATTTCACTCCGGGTGCCTCATGGGAATTGGAGCTTGAGTGCCTCATGTCCCCATTCTACTCTATGAACCAGGCTACAGTCTACATCTTCCACAATGCACCACATCATCTCACATAGAAAGGATACCATGGTGCATCATGGGAAATGTAGTCCAGCCAGGGAAATCTAGCCCATAGAGGAGAAAAAAATTCCAACCAACTCTAATTACAGTAAGCTAGGTGGCTAGTAGATAAGCTAGATCCTGATCCTCCAAAGATTGACATGAAGCTGGATTTTAAATATTCTTCAGTGATCAAGAATGAACCCCCCACTATTTGCTGGGAAAGTTTGGATCTGGATGCACACTTGATGCCTTGGCCAGTTCTAATATCCTCAATGAGGAGAGAAAGCAAATACAATCAACCAAAGTGCCTTTGACTGAAGAGAGACCATCTGACTGGAACCCAAATGCTTTACATGCCAAGACAGCATAGCTTCTGACTCATTAGTCCTTTCATCAAATGGCTGTCCTTTTTCTGCTAACTACTCAGGATAGGCCGTTTATTAAAATGTGCATACAGAATCATGTGCAAACTGGAGAATGGACTACCATACCACTTTTTAAAATCATCTATAGACAACATAGGGGAATGCTTTCTAAAGCCAACAATATGGAGTTGTGAAACAATCTAGACATGTCTAGTTTAATAAATTGGCGTGAGTTGTTTCCTGCATAATCTTGTCAGATTGTTTCAGGCTTCAGTGGTCTCCATTTGTCAATAGTTATGACCTTTTTTTATCTGAAATATTTCAGTCTTTCTACTTACCTAGACGCCAGTTCAGCAAAGCACTTAAGCACGTGCTTAACTTTGAAGTCAACGGGAGATAAGCACATACTTCAGTGATTTGTTGAACCGGGTCTTAGACAATAATTGCAGTATCTCCACTACCACAGTGGGATAACTACTGGCAAATGTTGACTTTTTAATGGTGCCTCTGTATCTAGTTATCTCAGTGTCCCTTAATCTCATACCACAGTGAATCAATCTACAGTATGGGCCGACAGCTGAAGAAGTGAATCTAATCTGTGTTATAAGGCAAAGTCTTGTTCTAGGTTTCTCAGAGTTTGGATAGAGTGAGAGGGACTTTGAAAGAAGCTACAGTAGAGACACTACTTAAGGAATTAATTGATTTAAGGCAATATTTCTGTACAGTGTAACTTAATGAACCACGTAAGTAATGCTCATAACTTTTCAGTGTAAGGGACAAAAACCAATGTTGCATTTAATTTTTGGTCTAGATGGGCTAAATCAGTTCCAAAACCAGCAAGTATGGAAATGAAATTTATTCTGGTATCCAGGACCACTTTCCTGTAATGGCTGGGTCAGCTTTGTCAAAGAGTTTAAAATAATGCTTTCAATTTGCCTTTGAAGCCTGTGATTTTTTGATCACCTTCACTGCCTGTGTTTGGCTCCGGCAGAGATGGGAGAAATGGGCAGTTATTTCACGTGAGAGATTGAGAGGATGAGGGAACTGACACCACAAGCGACCCTTCAAACAGAGACAACATTTGGAATGAAGTATTTCTTCAGGGAAACATCTCAGCTTGCTTTAGCCCCAGATTCTGATATGGTACCCCAAATAAAGATTGCACAAAAAGGCATTTGCAATTGTGCAGTTGGATGATACACACATGCAACTAATTGCATTTGCAAGGGGGAAAATTAGAGGACATGCCTAAAAATACCTCCAAGTCGTTTGAAGGTACATTTTCTGGGGGCAAGAGGTTGAGCTTCCAAGAAGAGTGAGCTCCTTGGGCTAGATCTGTAACTCTTTTCAAGCATGCTTCCAAGGTTCATTCCCCTACTTTTGTGTCTGAGTGATGGTCACCATCTTAGCCAACACCCTGGGGACTGAATTGGGGAACCTCCAGAACTAAAAGCATGAGCAGCCTCAGGTCTAGCTCATACTGGAACAGAGCTGTATCTTCTGCAAACTGGGCTCGGGGGGTGGAGGGAGACATGTAGCTCATTCCAGTGGCTTACACATACAGTGGATGGCACCTGCATGTGTGGGCAGACATCCGTTTCTCACATACCCGAGTCTGGCAGTTTATTACCTACTTCCCTTGTTCGGACACGCGAATGCATGTACTCAGAGCCACATCTTGAGAGGTGAGACTAGGGTGACCAGATGTCCCAATTTTATAGGGACAGTCCTGATTTTGGGGTCTTTTTCTTATATAGGCTCCTGTTACCCATCACCCCCTGTCCCGATTTTTCACACTTGCTGTCTGGTCACCCTAGGTGTGACTTGCAGCTGTTCAGCATTTCTCAGGATAAGGCCCTTAAACCTGAACACAGCAAGGCACCTAAGCACATGCTTAAGTCGGTCCCAGTTCAGCCGAGCACTTAGTTCTGGTTGAACGAGACCCTAAATGGGTGTGCAGTCACTTTTGCAGGCACTGTCCATTGTATGTGTACAAATGTCAGGGCGGCTCTATGGTTTTTGCCGCCCCAAGCACAGCAGTCAGGTGGCTTTCGGTGGCACGCCCGCTGGCTACGCGGATTCAGCGGCATGCCTGCGGGAGGTCCGCCGGTGCCGCGCCTTCAGCGTCCCCGCCGCCGAATTACCGGCAGACCTCCCGCAGGCATGCCGCCGAAGGCAGCCTGATGACTGCCCTCACAGCGACCGGCAGGTCGCCCCCTGCGGCTTGCCGCCCCAGGCACACGCTTGCTGCGCTGGTGCCTGGAGCCGCCCCTGACAAATGTAAAGGTAAACTGAAGGCCATTTCAAAAGATAGTCCTTAGAGTCTCTCTGCAGCTAGCTGCCCAGAAGGGAGAGGAAACCCTTTAAAAAACAGGGTTGAATCTAAACCAGTCATCAGTAATGACACCAAATAAATGTAGGAAATAGTTCCATAGACAGTTGAGATATGGAGCTCTGAGGAAAAGAAGATCCACATGACCATTATGACTCATTTCGCTCTGTCTGGCTGCTTTTTCTTCCATCTCTTCTATGACATAGTGTGTTTCTTTGCTTCATGCTATAGCACCAGTGCTGATAAAACAACACTTAGTCAAACACCCATTATTCATCTTCATCTCATTTTTGCAGGTGTTGAAATACAACTGTAATTAATTCAGGTACAAGGCAGATTGAGTGACTCAGCTATCTCTGGAATTTTTGGTGCAGCTTCCAGGTCAGCACCAGCTTCGCTCTACTTTATATAACTTATTTTCTCCAATGTTTCAATTAGGGCTATCAATTAATTGCAGTTAAATCAAGCGATTACGCAAAACAAATTAACTAGATTAAAAAAAATAGTTGCCATTAATTGCAGTTTTAATTACCCTGTTAAACAATAATAGAATACCAATTTACATTTATTATACATATTTTAGATGTTTTTCTACATTTTAAAATATCTTGATTTCAAAGTAGACAATGCTCACTTTATATTATTTTTGATTACAAATATTTGCACTGTAAAAGAGAAACAAAAGAAATAGTATTTTTCAGTTTATCTCATACAAGTACTGTAGTGCAATCTCTTTATTGTGAAAATGCAACTTACAAATGTAGAATTTTTTTTTACATAACTGCACTCAAAACCAAAACAATGTACAACTTTAGATCCTACAAGTCCTCTCAGTCCTACTTCTTGTTCAGCCAATCGCTAAGACAAACAAGTTTGTTTATATTGATGGGAGATAATGCTGTCACCTTCTTATTTACAATGTCACTTGAAAGTGAGAACAGTTGTTCACATTGCACTGTAGTAGCCGTCGTTACAAGGTATTTACCTGCCAAATATGCTAAACATTCGTATGCCCCTTCATGCTTCGACATATAGATTGCATTATTCTTTTAAATTATTTTTTACAGTGAAAATATTTGTAATACAAAATAAACTTGAGCGCTGTACACTTTGTATTCTGTGTTGTAATTGAAATCAATATATTTGAAAATGTAGAAAAACATCCTAAATATTCATAATACATTTAAATTGGTATTCTATTATTGTTTAATAGTGTGATTAAACCTGCGATTAACAGTGACTATTTTTTTAATCTCGCGATCAACTGCATTTATTTTTTATATCGTTTGTCAGCCCTAGTTTAATCAATGAGAACTCATCTACTTTGATACAACCACGTCTAAGAAACAGTCTCAACTTAGTGATACACAAAGAGCCTGAGTCTGATCCAACTGACACCAGTGTAAATCAGGATTAACTTCAGCGACGTCACTTTTGCCCCAGTGTTGAGTATTACCATGCAACTCAGATAACAACATACGCAGATATGGCTTAGCTGTGCAGATAATTACTTCTTTTGCACATGCAGTTATGGTAATTAAATAAGCTCAATTGCATGTGCATTTGCACCTCTAGTTTTTGTTTGTTTGTTTGTTAGTTGTAAATCTGGCTCTAAAAGCACTTAGAAATGTGATCATCTCTCCAGTCAGCTTTTATATGGCTTTCACAGTGCTACACTTGCGATATTACTTTCAGGAAACAACCTGCACTCCAATCCATTGCCCCGCCCGCCCCCTTTTTGCCCCCCACCCCCTATAACACACACGGAGGAAAACCTACTTTGTCAGAAACTAAAGCGTTTTGTGAGATTAAAATGTAAATGTTATACTCCACTTTTCAAAATATGTTTTATAATTTACTTTTGACTGCGTGAGGAAATAGAATTTTTATAACCCTGTGAAATGATTGCCACCCAGACACTTTGGCAAATAACTAAAAACCTTAATAAATAAATCCTCTGTCAGCTAGGGCTGAAAACCAAGTTGCTCGTGGTTTGCCGGAATATTGTGAATTACAAAGCAGTCTCATACAATTGGACTAGTAATCACAGGAGCACGTATTGGGCTGACTTTGGTTTCCCTAGTTGGGAGAGGGAAGGGTGAGTGTGCAATGGCTCATTCAGCAGGACTAGAAATAATCAGTGTAAATTAATTTTTGGTACATTTGCTGATTTGAAAAAAAAATCAGCAAAAATTAATTTACAGCAAGTATTTCTAGTACCAGGCCAGCGGCAATGCTGGTCCGCAGAAACTGGAAAATAATTTAACCCTAATATGTAGCTGGCACTAAAATAAATAGGTACTAATATTTGCACTGTAAAAGAGAAACAAAAGAAATAGTATCTTTTTGCAGTCTATCTGCACCAGTATATTTACAAAGGTAGATGGCTGATGCTGCAAAGTAAGTCCCTGGCAAGGTAATCGCTTTGACATGAAATTACTAGCCCTTCCTGTCACTGAAAATATCATGAAGTAGCAGGATAAATTAGGTAAGTACCTTGGTAAATGGACCATATGATTACAGGATAAATGTATATGAAAAAATACATTAGTCCACCACCATCTTCAAATAACTTCAGGTATTTTCAATTCCTTTCAAGATCTAGTTTGAAATGGCCCTCATGGTATCTATAGGGTTTCCATAGATTCCTTCCACCCCTGTCTTTCTCAGCTATCCTCTCCATTCCCTCTACTCATCTAATACCTACCTTCAAATCTGTCACTTCTGATAATCTTCTCATTGCTGGTGCAAGAGCCTTCTCCTCTGCAGCTCCTACCATCTGCAGCTTCTGCCTCACTGAATCTCAATCATTATTCATTATTTGCTAGCTGGAGTAATGAATAGTTGGCATAACAGTTTGTAAACATTTATATATATCGTCATCCAAATGCCAGCAAATACTTATGAATGAAAGCATCTGAATAAAATCAAGATCAATTATCCACAATCTTGCTATGCAAAAAGAGGGCTAAATTCATAGCACAAAATATTTCAAAAACGATCATGATTTTGGCTACCTACATTTTTGGGTGCCCTTTGGCACACTTTTCAGAAGCCTAAAAATTAGGTCACTTGAAGCATGTCTGAAGCTGGGTACCCAAACTAACCGACATACCCCAGCTCACTAGTGACTTTTGAAAATCTTGCCCATAATAAATATTCATAGATCTGCACATGTTTAAGGCCAGAATGGACCATTAGATTATCTAGTCCGTCCTCCTGTATAACATGGGCCATGGAATGAGTATTAGGACTGAACAGTTTGACCAGCTGTGCTCACAACAGATTGCTCGTGCATGATGGGCAAATCAGGAATCATTTGGTGAACAATTTCAAACAACAAATACATACAACATAATAAACAGACAATTCACCAATAGACAATGAGGCTGACCTGCAAACTTAATTTTTTACTATGAAGTATTCACGCATTTCTATCCACTAAATAAGCTATTAATAAGGACATGTTTATCGTGGACTTAAACAACCATGGTGATGTATTTTATATCAACAAACTTGTCACCACTTGAGTGGAATCCTACAGGGCGTACAGTACCAAAACACTGCAATGATAAAGACCGTGTGGCTAATGAGGCTTGGTGAGCTGTGAGCCAGCTGAATATCTTGCAAATGAAAGAACACCAGCTAAAATATGGGCTTACCATCAACTTAGGATACTGCTTTATTGGCCTCAGTCCTAGCCCAAGGTCATTGACTGAGACCAGTCTGGGCTTTTCAACGCCCCTTGGCATCTTTAAACATTCCCTCCTTTCACCAGCTTGGAACTTGGTCAGTTTCATTTTGATGCCATTTGCGACTTCTCTGCTCTTTTCTCCAGTGAGGTCTTTTTGTTTGTTTTTTATTTAATGGTGTAAATCTCATCAGCTTCTAGACCTTTTCGCTGGCCTGCTCTCCCAGCAGTGCTTCCTACGGGATCACAAATGACATATTGCATCTGCATTGAAACAAAATGAGTTCATCCCCATTTTTAGATAAGGGTGTCATTTGTAAATGCTTTATTCATAATTAATGAAATTATTACTGGATGCAGCCACATTCCTCATCCGTGTATAATAAGATACTTTGTAAAGTGCATTAGTAAAAAGCTTACAGATGAGGCTATGACAAACCTACTGTGAAACATATTCTATGGCATACTGCAGCTTTTGTTCAAACAATCTATGTGCAAGCTTGTGAATGATCAGTCTGGCTAGATGGTGATAGATGGTGCAAATGTTAATTAATAATAGGCTAATGTTGATAATTAATAGTAAATCATGATGATGGGATTTTGTTAGTCAGTGTTATGATAATATTCATTTCACAGAATCATAAAATCATAGAAGTTAGAGATGGAAAAGCCCCATTCAGTCATCTCAGTCTGTCTTTCTGCCAATGCAGTACCATTCCTTACAGAGCATTTACTGCTGGGTAAAAAGTCTTGTGATCCCAGATTCATCCAACCAGGAAATATGGAGAGGCCTATTGATCTCAATGCAATTTTTATATAGTATTTATGAAAACCCTGATGCATTGTTTGACTGTAGAACATGAAGAATGAGTCATAACTGTCCTCTCACTAAGAGCTATCAAGAGGTTATGGTGATAAGAGACGTATGAATCCATGTAACCTACGGTAAACATGTGAGGAAATAACAATGTAAAAGGTGTCTTCACACATATGATACGTGGCTTCCTCCAGCAAGTTCAAGACGACATCATACCTCTTACCTTTGGTATAGAAAAACTTCTTGTACTGCTGTAACAACCTGCGATACCAAATAACACAGAGAGAGACACTTTAGAAAACTGCATGTCCTTTAGAAACAACAGAACAGTGTTTCCAAGTTTTTCAGCTGACACAACATTTTCCTGCCTTATATATACAGGACTGCATCACTCCCGGCATTACATCATGTTGCATGAAGTGAATGAACATTTGCCCTTGGGCATAGGCTGCCCTGAGGAAAGAGGAAGTTCCATGTCACTGTACATTATAAAATCTGATGGACAAGGAGAGCAGTATCATGCAATGACAACTAGAGATGGCCACTTAACTCTCAATTCAAATACCCCCAAGGGAGTCCCGTCCCATTTATATTGCTGCTAGCCGCTTGTGAGGCTATTCTTACAGCTGGCAGATTTCCTGGCTGATTGGATGACTGTCACACAATGGTATTATGGTGTATGGAGGAACGTGTTGGAATTGCAAGCTATCGCTTTAAGAGTGTGGGAAGGTGGGGCTTCCCGGTCCTGCTTGCAGACTCGGGGGCTCTGTAGTGAAGTGTGCGATCAGAGCAGTCTAGAAAGAACCAGATGGACTGAGCTGTGCCTCTCTGCTTTACAGAGAAGCCTGCTTTATCCATCTCTTGGCTTTTGGTTACTGTGGGTTATTATTCTGGAATCTAAGAATAAAAGTAGTGATACATTGCACCCTTCCAGTAACACTATTTTATATACAGGGTATATATATTTTTTAAGGTAACTTCTCTGTGTGTATGCCAGGAACATAACAGGTAAGTAGGAGCCTAAACATGATTGGGACTGACACTGCCTGTTAAGACATGGTGCAGTGGCATTTTCAGGCTGAAGATAAAAATGGGGTGACTTGAAGAATTGCCGTTCTTTGGAAAAAACAGATCAGAACCTCAAGAGACTAAATTTTCTGCCAGCCTCAAGAAGGGCTGATTTCACATGCCCTGTTTTGCACGCGCAACTGCACCATGCAAAATCCTCATTGGCAAATACGGCAGTGGCCTTATCTGTCAGCAAAAGTGGCTGGTGGGTAAGCAAATACAGAGGTCCAGGGCTGAAAATTGAACCATGAGTGACATTAAAAATGAACAACAACAAAACACAGCAACTAGAAAAGACCCCATCGTTCAAGTCATTTATAAACAGATGGGATAAAAAATATATTGCAGGGAACAATTCTGGTTGGCCTATCAGGATGGGATATATTTTCTATGCTAAGATGTAGGCTAGTTATTCACTAGTACCCAGATATTTCATAAGTAATCTCGACCAAAGGCATAAAATTTACCTAGCTCACTGCCATCTTCCTATAAGCAGGATCTCATGTGTTGAGAGGTACATTACATTTTGCCGATCCCTTTCGCACAGCTCTGTTACTTACCACCTTTATTAAAGTCCTAAATCCTTAAACCGTGTTAATACCTATACAGCTTTCCTGCCTCTCGCAATCCACGCATACAGCTTATTGACTAGAGCAAGAATAATGTTCACCAAGAGCTAAAAGAGACAAGTGTTAATTTTGGAGTTCTCTTGATAAGGAAATTAATATCAAGGCTTTCTTTGGACAGTAGAGTCCTTTGAACCGACACACAAATGACCTCTGCCCCCCTGACCCTTTCTTAACTTTGTCTTTGTTTGGTTTTTAACATTTTCATTTCAGACAAATCTGAACCAGGATTCAGTCCATTGTGGCCTCGCAGACAGACCATCTCTTATCTCACTTACATTCGTAGCAATTATTTACAGCAGAAATGTTTAAGCATGAAAGTGGGATTACAGACAACGTTGTACCTTTGCTACAGCAATGTGCATCTTGCATTGTTTTCAACTTCCTCAACCGCTGGGCTATTTGCCTTTCCCCATCCGGAGCCATTGTCCTGCACTTGGTTCCACCTTTTAGGCCTTCAAGGTCAGAGCTTTCATTGGGCACTCCTGACCCGCGTTCTTTGCAGATGTTAAGAAGTAGGAGCAAGTTGAACACTACATGAGGCGAGGGTGGGGTTCAGCAGTATTAATACTTGGTAATAACATAGCTATTGCGACAGCTTTTAACACAGTGTTTTCTATTAAGGGTTCCTTCTTCAGTGGTAAGTACTCTTGAAATTGTGGAATTTATAGCATTGACCTAAGGCAGGCACTATGCAAGTTTGCTCCCAGGATCAGGATCAGCTAGTCCCAGGATCAGGGGGTTGGGAGACATAAAGGTGGCATATGCCCATCTTTGCCTACCCTGCTTGGATTTTCTGCTCTAGCTTTGCAGAACCTCTGGATTGGGCCGAGGGCATTACTGTAATTCCAGCTCTGTGGCCCTGTCTATATTACAAAATCTCTATGCACTCAGCATGTCAAGCATCTTTGTTCACAGTAGCTTGGGCCTTGTCCTTAGACAGGAAACCCGTGTTTGCTTGTAATATGTGATAATCTCTTATATTACTGAGCACATAAGGGATTTTCAGATGAACAGTATTTAAACATGAATAATTAAAATCGGAGTTAAATGAAGATATTGTACAGCTCAGTGCAGTGTAAACACACTGACTACCTGGGCTCCATTCAGATATATTCGTTACTATGCCACTTTGGATCCAGACGGGTAAAAGCTTTCACTTTCATTACTCACTACACCTGATTAAATGTGATTATACTCTTGACAAATTTTCTTGTGTCAGGCACTAAATTAAGGGGGGGAGAGGTATTTTTCCAGTTACGATCGATATTGTTCTGATAAAGTCCTTCTCAATTCAGAAAAGTTGTTCTCTGCTTAGGTTAATCTGCTTAATAAATGGCATAGAGTGTTCTCAGCTCAAGAATTATAGCACAAAGCAGGTGGAGCAACCTTAGAATCTTAGCTGTAAAGATCTAGTCACATATATTGCTTGATCCCAATGGGAGGATACAATCGATAGCCACAGGGCAGACCAGCAGAAGTGGAGCATGCCAGGGAGTCAGCCTGCTGGGTCGGTGTATGACAATTCCGTTCGGGAAGAAGGCTGATGGAATGCTTCTACTCTCTATGAATTTTTCTTAGCTTTAAGACCGCAGTCCTAGATCCCCTGACTACAAAAGATCTGACAACTTGGTTTCTTCTGGCACTTTTTACTGGTGAAAAAGTTGGGGATGGGGATGGGGGTGGGGGCGAGAGAAAGAGAAAGAGAGAGAGAGAGAGAGAGAGAGGAAGAAGAGAAAGATTGTTTTAATTTTGACCTCCTGCGAGTCACTTCATTAACCCTGATTCTGCTTGACCCTTTTACAGCCCAACTGTTTATTTTCTTCATGAATCTAAAACCAGATCAATCAACTCTTCCTCAAAGCCCTTTATGAAACCTTGGCTTCCAGTCAAAGGCCTGCTGCTAACAACAGACCTGATGCAAATTGAATCTCTGGGAAACAGGATTGTTCAGTGCAAACACCCATCAAACCTCCCCGTTCCTTTTTCTCCTCAAAGCCTCACAGGTCAGTCCACTGAAAAGTGTGTGTGTGTGTGTGTGTGTGTGTGTGTGTGTGTGTGTGTTTCAATAATCATGTCTTGCTGGGGATTTAAATATTAGTCTTCCAAAGCTAGGTCTGTAGCACCAGATTTATTTGTATGAAAAAAACCTTCCCCTTCTTGCTTAAGGAAAGATATTAATTATAGATGCAAACCCATAAATCTTTGGGCTTTAGGTGAGGCATTTGCTGGATTATAAATATAAATTGGATATAAGGGTCCTGATCTTCATATTATTACTATTATTACTTACTGTTTATTTGTTTTTTTAATACGATCAGGATCTTCAGATGAGTCAAACATTTCTGGGGAATGGCGAGCAAAGCTTTCCAAGGGTGCACATGTTGACTTCATTAAAAGATTTTCCTTTCCAACCTGGCTCTCCACTGCATTTCACAGTCCAGTGAGTCATTAAGCATCTTGTTCAGATTCCTCCTCTCCCACCCCACCCCCAGTCCAGCTCCAGTACTTGATTTCATTATATTGCTTCTGCCAGATCATATCAAGCCTCCTCATGTTTATTAAAAATGTCCGGTGTATCCTATTGACAATGTGCCATTGTTTCTCTAAAGTCCTGCTTCCAATACAAGCCTTTGAATGTAGCTCGAAAGGTCCGCAATATATCCCAGCTCTTTGTTGAATGTGACAATTTTCTTCTCCCTGGTTTATTAGAGTAGACCCGTGGTGTCCAGCTATAAGCCACAGGGCCTCATCCAGTAAGGTGCTGCGCATCCTCGACTCCCATGGAAGGAGTTTGCTCCACAGCACTTGGCAGGATCGTACCAAGTGCTTAGATGTGGCAAGTATCAATAACTGTGATGTATATATATGTAACCAGGGGAGTCAGCAACAACAAGGGTGGGTTGAATATCTAGTGGGTTCCTCTTAACAATACAAAACAGACCTGGTTCGAGCCCCCACCCAGGAATCTGGGAAAACCTCGGGGAGGCCACATTCTGAGCTTCCCCCACTTAGCCCAGTTCTTAGTAACCTCAGAGGGTAGCAGGGAGACTGTGCTGTCTTTCACTGCAGCGCTGTCCTCAGCCTAGGTCTAAGGCTTAGCCCCTAGACCTTCTCATCAGTGACCTCAGCTCTAGTCATCACTGGGCAGAAACAAAGACTCTCAGTTGAGTCCAAACAGCTCTGACTTTAAACACTAGAGAAAGGAGGGTCAAGGGGCATCTGGGACTCTTTAGGCAACAGCCATATCATCAAGTAGGAACCCCTGTCCTCACCCCCCTCATCTTCAGTTGGATTTGGCATCCCTACCCTCTGCTTAGCTAGTGAGGTTCAGTTTAGGGTGACCATCTCAATCCGGGCATGCGAAGTACAGTTCTGCTGCCCTTTACTCCTACAGGAAGGATAACAACATTTCCTTACCCCTGCGTTCAATACTAAAGTGAATCGTAACCCCAACCCAGCCAAAATTGATCACTTTGGCACCGCAGGTCTATCTGCTAACCACCTAGGTAGAGTAGGGAGGGGTGTGTGTGTGTGTGTGTGTGTGTGTGTGTGTCAGGGAGAACTCAGTCAGAGCATGCTTACGTCTTCGAGGAAT